TTTTGGTACTTTTAAATATTCTTAAGAAAAAATGAGGCAATAATTAGGAAAATACATTGTACATGTTGAACTCCATTTTTGTTAACTAAAAATACTAAACTTGAAAAATGGTTATGTAATTCTGTAAACCCACAATTTAAAAAAGTTTCTAGGTATAATATTAGATCAGATGCTTTAAAAATTTTTTATTCATATAAACCAAATTTAATTTATATGTTATCAAATCTTAATTCTAAAGTTGCAATTACTTCTGATATTTGGATTTCTAAATTTAGCATAAGTTATATTTGTGTTACCAGTCATTTTATTAATAAAAATTGGCTTTTAAATAAAATTGTTTTAAGTTTTACTAGGCTTGAATGGCCACATACTGGCCCAGCTATTGCTGCAAGTATTTTAAATACTTTACATGCTTATGGAATTGATAATAAATTATTTTCTATTAGTTTGATAATGCTAGTAATAATGATTGCAACAATAAGTATTTTAAAATCTCAATTAAAACTATGCTTAAATGGTAAATTATTTCATTTCAGATGTGCATGTCACATCTTAAATTTATGTATTCAAGATGCTTGAAATATTATTTTTACTCATATTTCTAAAATTAAAAATTGTATTATATATATTAAAAGTTCTAGAGCAAGAAAACAAGAATTTAAATATTTATGTCAAAATTATGGTTTAAAATACAAACATTTTATATTAGATGTTAAACATATATGAAATTCTACCTATGCTACGTTAGAAAGTTTATTTCTCATAAACAAATTCTTAGTGATTTTTATAATGCATAAATGCTTACTGATATTACATTTGAGGGAAACTGGGAAATGGAAATTTGTATAAGATATTTTTTAAGACACTTTTATGATGTAACTAATGAATTATTAGGTATTTATTATCGAACTAATTGTAATTTAGCTTATCAATTAATGGTGATTAGTGGTTATTTTGTAAAATATATAAAGAATCCACAATTTAAAAGTGTTTTTGAAATAATAGAAAATAAATTTAAAAATATTGGGAGGACATTTCTCCTCTTTATTGCTTAGTTACAATATTAGATCCTAGGATTAGGAAAGATGGTTTAGATATTTTACTTTAAACATATTGTGAAAATATGAATATTGATATAGGAAATAAAAAAGAAGAAATTAATTATTTATTGTTTGAAATGTATAGTTTATATGAATCTGAAGTAACAGGGAATAATAAAAATTCTACAAACTTGTATAACTACATCTTCCACTTATGAACTTGAGTCCAGTAGTGGAAGAAAAAAACTTTTTTATTTTATAAGAGGCAGAAATCCACTACCTCGACAACAAGTTCTTTTGTTGAACTTAATTTTTATTTACAAGCAAATTTTTCTACTTTAAGTGATTCTTCCTTTGCTTCGGAGGAAACAAATAATTTTGATATTTTAGCCTAGTAGAGTGAACATGCAAAAAACTATCCAGTTCTCGCCGCCATGGCACGTTATCTACTAACCCCTCTAGTATCTACAATTCCATTGAAGTCTTGTTTTAGTGCAGGTACTAGTAGGGGTGTAAACAGATCAGATCAGGCAAAATCCGAATTTGAATCCGATTAAATATTTGAATATTTGATTAGATTTGAATTCGATTAAATAATTACTTTAGGTAATTAATAAATAATTAAATATTTAAGATAAATATTTTATTTATATAAGTATATAAATATAAATTAATTTTATAATTTAATTATTATAAATATAAATTATATAAAACATTTAAACATTTTATATATTATATATAAGAATTAAATAATTAGTTAAATTCGGATATTTATCGAATCGAATCAGGTCATATTCAAATTTTGAATCCGATTAACTATTCGGTACGAATAGGACAACTGAATTCGACTCATTACATATTCGAATTATCCGAATTCAATTCGATTATGTCAAATATTGAATTCGAAATCGGATTTTCGAATACAATTGACACCCCTAGGTACTAGGGTGTTGGACGACAAGAGGAGCTTATGAATGATGAAAGTCTAGATATGTGCATCTGCTTTAAATTGGTTGGATGCTGAAGATAGATTACAAGACAAAGGAGGGCATGACACTACACCTGATGTTTTACCTGAAGCAGATAATCAAAGTTAAGAACGATAGGAGAAAATATGAAGTCAATATTTTTTGTATATTCAATAGTTGAATAGCATTTTTCCAAATTATTGTAAATTTTGTTTTAATTTTATTTAATTTATTTGATACTTTTTAATAACATAATTTTTTAAATTCAATTTGTAGCTATATTGTATTTTTATATTTTATTAATTTATTCCATTTTCCAATTATTATATTTCATTCATCCAACCATTATATGCTTTGTATAGTTCAAATTTAAATGAAATAAAATTCCTAATTTTCTTCCAATTTGTTATTCACTTTGAGTCTTTGCTTCTTTGATTTGTTATTTAGTTAACTATTTTTTTCATTTATTTGTTAGATTTCTTTTTTTTTTCAAATAATTCCTAAAGAAAAGTTAAATATTTTAGTTTTGCTTAGCAAAGAAAAGTTAAATATTTTAGTTTGGCCCACTCCTAAGGCCTAGTCTATGGCCCAACTGTGCCAACACAGCTTGCAGCTCGCCCGACCCAGACTGGTGGCACGGCATGAGCCCACACGGGCTTGGGCCATGAGCCATGCCGGGCTGACCCCCAAATTATCTTTGGGGAGGGCGGCAGAGCCCAGGACGGCCTGCACTTTGCACAGGAAGGCTTTATTTACAGCTGCACATCGGGAATATCTCCTGCTTACAATTTACAACATAAGTTAAACATAAAGTTTGAGGAATTGTTCACGATGTGCGGTTATAAGGTCTTCTGGCCAGTGCCTAGTGGTTGTGGATCAGTAGACGAGGAGTCCGAGTGAGTTGGTTACATGCACGGATGCACCCAATTAATTAAGATCAAGCTTGCCTGGGTGCTTAAACGTTAAACCATCCATAACCAACAAACTTCTGAATGTTAAGGCAATCCCGTGCAGGTGCAGCTCATCTTCTGACACCCCCAAAATTGTTCAACTCATCATTCTCATTCAGGTAGGCTCCGTATATAGAAGGTTTCAGCTGTAAAGTTTATCAAAGCATGGCCTACTCAACACAAAGCCCAACCTTCCAAAATTTTAACTATAGGTGAACGCCATGAGTACTACTTTACAAAGGCAAGTCAGTTAGTAATTCTCATCGTCTCATTTCCATCCTTAACGGTTGTATATTCTGATTATAAAAATGAGAAAACGTGAAGATAGAAAATGCAAGTTGATATAATCATTCCAAACAGCTAATTTTTTCTACAAGGTGGGCACAATGGATTATCACCCCTTTTTCTCTCTCTCTCTCCCTCCGACGTCATGAGAGGGACCAATTGGTTTACTTTCAAGCGTATAGAATAGTAGAGAATTCTAAAGATAAAGCAGAGTGATGATGAGATTAGCATTAATAAATACTGTCTTATGCAACTTCAATTCATCTAGAATTGCTTTTACAACAAGATATCTTCAACAACAGACCCACCTCACTTTACGATCTTAGTCCCAAACCCATTACACAGAAAATAATAATAATAATAATAATAATAATAATAATAATAAGAGTTAGGTCAGTATCATGCTCCTCAAACCCGGCCCTTTCTAATTATTTCCAACACATCTTGCGCAGAAACATGAAGATCCAATAACCAACCCTTTCTATTTAGCAACCAAATTAATAACCGACCCTTCCAAATAAGGACCGTAACCTTCTGATCCGTCCAAACACTTCTTTTCTTTTTTACTTTTTATGCAGAAACATGAAGATCCAATCCACAGGATATATGGGTTCCAGGTTTTAATTATGGCTCATACCTGAAGATCTACATCTTCATTATGAATGCTTTTCTTTTGAACTCAACATTCAGGCTGCATTTGTCTGTAAAACTTGTTCAGACTGAAATATTTCAGCCATTATTCTCATCCCTTTTACAGAAAAAAATTATTAAATAGCAAAGGAAAACAAAGTTTGTCATTGTAAAACAAAACGAGTGAAATTGTAACACAAATGTTTCAGCCTGAAAAGGTTACAATCCATTTTGTGCTGAAACAAAAGCCGGTTAAAGGAAAAAAAAAGGGGGAATGCTGAGATCCAGCAATGATTTTGGTTGATCCTTTCAGTTAGGTGGTGGGGGGTCCATGGAACAGATGTGCAGATATTGTGCTCAAGGACCAATTTACTCAATCCAACTAATGGGACAGCGGGGCAATTTCATAATTGTTGATCACTTTCCAAATTATATATAATAATTTGTTGAGACAGAATCATATCGTCAGGCACATCAGGCAGGATGAATTTAGCATATCTCAGATTATTTCTGTTCACTGGTTCTCCTTGTATTTAATAGTTTTAACATTTATTTACAGTATTAATCACAATAAACAACACCTTCTATGAGAACACAAATTTTCATCTTCTTACTGAAAAATGAGTATATCAAATTAAACATTCATTTCCATTGGTCATTAGCTAAAGTCGTTTTTTTTTCCAATTAAATAGACTTGGTTGTAAAGGAAGATCAATTACCTCAGGTGGTTGGTGAGTAAAAATGGCATCTAGTCGGCGGCCTTCTTACTAATACTCGAAAGTTTCTACTAAGAGAACATCCATGTCAAAAGAAAAGGAGCCTGCCAGTAATCTATATCCTTCTTTCTTACTTTTCTTTTCTCTTTTTCCGATTCATTACTATTTCTAACTAATGACCCAATTCAGGCTTTTGCTTTAAGCAATAAATGAACAAGCTGCTTCAATCAAGTACTAACACTCTGGCAATCTCTAAAAATGAAGCTGTCTACTAATGCTTATAGTTCTTGGAATGTGAAACGCAATCATCATGGTATGGAGTTCACGGCCTCCCATATTTGAATTCTGAGACACTAAGCTTCTTATATTCTGGTAGGCAGACTATATTTGTCACAACTGATTGATATAGTTGTCTTTCTATCTCACTGAGGTTGCAGGTTTTGGATAGTTGACATGGGCAATGAGATGGGCAACGTAAATGCGTCTGGGCTAGAAGGTATGTTACTAGATATCTCCAATGATCTACTTCCATGAAAAAATAGGAACACTCATCTTTTCTAACTTGGTAATTGGATTAATACAGGGCAAGAAAACCCTGATTTTGATGCTTCCAACAAACCTTTAGAAGCATCAGTGGCCTCAGTTAGTGCAGAAGATGTAAAAAGTAAAAGTGAACAGATTAGTTCACCAAAGGAAGAGGACTCTGATCGAAAACATGCAGGCTTAGCTTCTGAGAATCCATCAGGAATAAGTGATCCACAAGAAGAGAAGGAAACATCTGGTGGAAAAGGTTTGTAACGTGTATTAGGATTTCCAGCATCCGCTTTATATCAATTAATGGAATATAGGATTGCATTTCCACAAAGACTTCGCATATTTTAAATTATCTATCTATCTATCTATCTATCTATCTATCTATCTATCTATCTATCTATATCCATTTATCTAGATTATTTATTTGTCTAAATTTGGATTTCTGTTAATTTAGAACAAGAGAAAACTGAAGTTCAAGCTCCCAAAGTATCTCTTTTATTGGCTTCAAATGATGAAAATGGCATAGCCAGTGGAACACCATCAGAAAATGGCAACATTCATGGTCACACAGGTTTATCTACTGAAGAGAACCTGTCAAAGAGAGAGGACCACCAAGCTCAAAATCAAACATCAATAACAAAAGGTTAGTATCTCATTGGTTTTTCTGTTCAAGAATCTTATGGTGATGTAACTACCAGAATTGTTTTCTGTTAATTTTGCTAGGAAGATTTGAGTAGCAATAAAAAGACTGTTTGATAATATATTCTTAACCATCTTTGTAAGAGAATAAATATGTACCTATTCAGAGACTAGATCACTAGATCACTTGATCAAACAGGCTCTTATACCATCTAAGTAACCTTTTCAAACCAAAAGCTTAAGCTGTTAGGTGAGGTCTCCAAATATTTATTCTCTAACAATCTCTACCATTTTCATCCCATCCTAAATATGTATGTTTTTATCAAAATAAAAATGGAAATTCTATAGGGTAGAAACATGTATTTCATACCATGAAATCTGTAAGTATTGAACATGAGCTCTATGATGTTGCACCATGTATGTTTACAAAACCAATGCTGTATAATGTTGCATTATTGGTGGGTTGCAATTGGGTATATGTATTTACATAAATATGTAGCTATGTACCTTAGTTTCTATGTAATGATTAGTAGATTTTCAACAGAGGGAGAACTGGAAGGGAATTCATCTTTAGATACAAAAGTTACACCACACAGTCCTGAACCAAAGATATCTGAAGATCTGAAGTATGACCATCAGGAATTTACCATAGCTCATGCTGAAGGAGAACTATATTCAGAAGATGGTTCTAAAATGCAGGCTAGTACTGCAGACGTTCTCAGACTGAACGAATCCCGTGAAACTGGTGAGGAAGGACCACTAGAGAATGAAGCAGTGCAATATCTCGATGGAAGCATTTCCCCCAACAGAAACTCAGAAGCAGCAGAAGACGGGGATGGCATAAAAATGGAAAGCATGGAATCCCAAGAAGAGAAAGCTCCACATATGAACAATACCAATGGAAAGAAGCTTGAAACTATGGAAGTTCAGAGCAAGGTGTGTCATATAAATCCACAAGTTCTGTCGAGTGATGTTGATAATAAGGGAAATGAAGAACAATTACCTGTTGAAATGGATTTAGTTAGAAATGATGCCATGAATTTACAATCGGAAGCTGTTCTGGTTACAAAACCACCAGAACCATTCCAGCTAGAAGATGCTGAGCCCGAAGACAAATATATAGTTCTAACTGATGATACAAGAAAGATGGAGAATGGGTCAGGATTTGAACTCAAAGCATATGATCCTGACTCATCTCTTCTCTTGGGGGGGTTAGTAGAAGAATCAAAGGTGGAGGAGATGGAAACTTTTAAATCTGATTGCGGAGTGATGGATGCAGCATATGATCCTAACTCATCTCCTCTCTTGGAGGGGTTAGTAGAAGAATCAAAGGTAGAGGAGATGGATACTTTTAAATCTGAGTGTGGAGTGATGGGCGCAGCATATGATCCNGATGGATACTTTTAAATCTGAGTGTGGAGTGATGGGCGCAGCATATGATCCTGACTCGTCTCCTCTCTTGGAGGGGTTAGTAGAAGAATCAAAGGCAGAGGAGATGGATACTTTTAAATCTGAGTGTGGAGTGATGGGCCCAGCATATGATCCTGACTCGTCTCCTCTCTTGGGGGGCTTAGTACAAGAATCAAAGGTAGAGGAGATGGATACTTTTAAATCTGAGTGTGGAGTGATGGGCCCAGCATATGATCCTGACTCGTCTCCTCTCTTGGGGGGGTTAGTACAAGAATCGAAGGTAGAGGAGATGGATACTTTTAAATCTGAGTGTGGAGTGATGGGCGCAGCATATATTCCTGACTCATCTCTTCTCTTGGAGGGGTTAGTAGAAGAATCAAAGGTGGAGGAAATGGATACTTCTAAATTTGAGTGCGGAATGATGGGCGCTAAGTATGACGAAAACAGAATTGGAAGCAACTTTGGTGCACCGCGTAAGTTGGAGATTGAGAAAGATTTCCAAATGGACGATATAGAGTTGAGTGAGAATGATTACCAAGTTGATTTTCCTGACCACAATTTGACTTCAATTTCTCAGGAACAATGCAAAGATTCTGAGGAATCGGAAGTGGATGCAGATGGCAGAGTTCCAACGGAGATGGTTACTATCATGGATAGCAAGCATGCGGAGGAATTTCCTACACTCACCTCATCTTTGAGGGATAAAATAGAAAATGAAGATGCCAAAGAAATGGTGGAGAAAACAGAAAATTCAGATTTAATGGAAAAGAATACAGTTGAGGAACAATCAAAGACGCCAGTTTTATCTCAATTTCATCCTATTGAAGCAGTGGAGGTTCTGCTCCCAACATGCCCTGTTTCTCCACCTCATTCCGAAGATTCAAAACAGGACAACCCAATGGAAATCAAGGGTACAGAAAACGGAACCAGACCAAGTGAAGAACTAAATCAACAGAATTGCAAGAAGGTTGTTATGAATCAAGTTTCCCATCACGATTCAAGAAGCATAAATATGGAAGCATTGGTCTCAACACCTGAATTGGAAAAGGAAAAATCAGTGCAAGACCATGTGAAGTGCCCAGAGATGACTGCAATGGTAGCTGGACCATCTGATGCTTCAAACTGCTCTCCAAGACAAGAATCAGTATGTGATGCATCTGACCATGATTCCAAATATGGTCCTGTAACGCCAGTAGAAAGTGGGAACTCTGCTGATGAGTTGGATCAAGAGAATCACAAGACCAAGATCGATATGTCCTGTCCAGTTGTAGAAGTTCCAGCCAGGAAGTCACATGAACAAAGTTCTGAGCAGAGCCAAATACTTAACCGGACAAGAAGTGCAAAAGGTGAATTTTCTGCATCTACAAGTTGTGATATTGAAGCTAAAGAAACCATGCAGAGATTCAGTACTGAATCGAATCCAGAAAACATTAACTTCCGTGAGGTAAGTAAACCTGCTATCTTTGATTTTGAGTTTCCCCTTGAAGAGAGGACTGAATCTGATAGAACTCCATTACTGCGTCAAAGGTCTGAAGTAGGAGATGTATTTGAGATTGAACTTAATAAGCATCTATCTGAAACATCTGTAGAAAAGGTTGATGTTAGCATTGAAAACCCAGTTCCAGAAACTGAACTGCCATCACCTAAAGATTGCAAGGAAGAATCTGATCATGACCCAGTACAGTGTCAGAATGTGTTAATAGACAAGCAAGATCCTACATTGGAAAAAACTGGCTCAGAGAAGTTGAGAGCCCCACTTCAAAACTTCCTGAAGGAAGGAGAAAGTCATGTGAAGGTATCAGCCCAAAAAACAGAGGTCCCTGTTCCTGTTGCAAAGACATCAGAGGAAGATGCATGGAACTCAAAGCCTAGTAAAGTAATAATCACTTCAACTAGAGCCAAAGAGAAGCGGAAGCCCAAGTCCTCTCTTTTCGGCAACTGCATGTGTTGCACAGCGGTGATAAATTAAAAGCCTTTCTTCAAACTTTTAATTGTTTCCAATGGTTCTGTGATTGGGGTGCTGTTGAAGGATGTTTTTGATGAAGGAAGATTATTGGTGGGTTGTAGATTTAAAAGAAAAAAAAAAGAGAGGGAGAGGTCTTTTGTTTTTTTTTGTTTATTTATTTATTTCTTTGTTTGTTTGTTTGAGACTACTCTGGCCAAGAAAGATTGTATTCTAAGCAGTTTTTCTGCTTGTGATTGTTGTAATTTCTGTTTTACAGTGAAATGGTATATCTAATACTATTTTTTAGATTTTTAAACTGATAAATTTTTATTTTGGTATACAAAGGAGAGCACTATCAGCAACATCTTGGGATAGAGCGGCCCTACAAATCACCACAACTACTCTTTCTCAGCCAAAGTTCCATTTTTGAGAAGTACCAACTGAAAACCAATAGTAATAAAAGGATCTGAACCTAATTGTCCAGATCTCAAAAGTACGAAGGATGATCGGATATGGTTCAAATGAGAACCAGTGCCATACATATAACTCTGTTTCTATTGTTCAGAATAAGCATACAAATACAGAAAATTATCTTACCTCCTCCAGTAGACATAACCACGAAATTGATTTCTTGTTTGATGAGAGATCCAACCAAATCAGTGATCCTGCATCCACGTTCTTGATCAACAAAGAACAGATCTCTGGTACAACCTCTATGCACAAGTATGGAGTTTTTTCTTTTGTCTTTCTCCTCTCAAGTCTAACCCCTCTAGAGATTTCACGTTCAAGAAAAATGATAGGGGGCCTTCTTAAACATTCCTTTATGAATAAGCTCAATAGATAGACTCAAGGAGAAAACTTTCCTTTCATTTTTTTCCCACCTCTTAATTAGTTCATCTATCAATGAGCTTTCAATTTAGTTGAGAAAAAATCTCTCCAAATCCCATCACCTCTCCTAAATTTTCTCCACCATTCAATTAAATTTGAAATTAAAAATCAAATTTAAACACACCCCTACAATTATGGATGATTGTGGAAGGTTTCCAATTCATTCCCAACAAGCTAACGTTAGGATCCTTAAAATGGTAATGACCTAGATTATGGCCACTATTGAGGGCCACAATCTGAGTCATTCTTACAATCTCCCACTTGGCCTGAATAGTGGACATGGAACGAGATGCAAGCTTGATCAGAGGTACAGATTTGGATTATGGTTACATCACTTAGGTAATTGTTAAGTATGACATAGATCATGGTGGTCCCCTTACAGGTAAGGCTTCCTTCCATGTATCATGGCATCATACATCACAACCCTCAGTGTTAAATATTCATAGTGTGTCCTCTCTTATACATCTGTCCACAACAAAATTGTGCACAATTGATAGATTCAAGATACAAGGAGATAGAGCAAATTAAATTGAACAAAGACACATGTCATTATATCAGATTACATTAAGAATTGAACTGACTACTCCCATGTCTTTTACATGGTTCAAAAATTCTTTTGGGGACAACCCCTTAGTCATGGGGTCAACAATCATTCTACCAGTTCCAATATGTTCAATAGTCGTACTTGCTTTGACTACTACTTTTATTGTTCTTTGAGAAGAACACAGTTGCAGCATTGTCACAAAATAGTCGTATTGGTCTATTAACGCAATCGAGCACCAAAGCTCCCAAACCAGTAATGAAGTTCTTCAGCACCAAAGCACCAAAGCACCCTATAAATTATGCTTCCATAGTGGAGGATGCTCTTAGTTTCTGTTTTGATCTTCTCCAAGACATAGCTCCCCTGCTATCAGAAATACATTTTCTGACATTGACTTTCTAGTGCCGGGGGCATCCACCATAGTCGAAATCAGTATATCCCAACAGTTCCAAATTGTCCCCTCTTCTATATGTGAGAACAAATTCTTTTGTTCCCTGTAGATATCTAAACACCTTCTTAGCAGCCTTCTAGTGTTCCCTTCCTAGGTTACTTTGGAACCTACCTAATACTCCCACTGCAAATGCAATGCCTGGTCTTATGCAAACTTGTGCATACATCAAACTTCCTATAGCTGATGCATAGGGAATTTTGTTCACGTCCTCCTTTTCATATTCTGTTTGAGGACTACTCTCGATGCTAAACTTATTCCCTTTATTAATTGGTACTACACTTGGTGCAAAGTGTCCCATACCAAACCTTTCCAAGACCCTTTGAATATATGCCGTTTGGGATAAACCCAACACTTTATGGGCTCTATCTCATTGGGTCTCAATTCCTAGAACATAGAATGCTTCTCCCATGTCCTTCATGTCAAATTTCTATGTAATAAATTCCTTAGTTTGGTATAGTAAGCCCATTTCTCTGTTGGAAATCAGAATGTCATCAACATACAAAATTAGTAGGACAAAATTGCTCCCACTAACCTTGAGGTATATACATTGATCCACAACATTCTCCTTATAACCAAATGAGGTAATTTCACTGTGAAACTTGTAATACCATTGGTGGGATGCTTGTTTCAAGCCATATATAGACTTATTTAACCTACATACCAAGTGTTCTCTACCCTCTACAGCGAATCCTTCTGGTTGCGCCATGTAGATTTCTTCCTCAAGTTCCCCATTTAGGAATGCAGTCTTAACATCCATCTGGTGCAACTCCATATCATAATGAGCCACCAATGCCATTATGATTCTAAATGAATCTTTCTTAGAGACAGGTGAGAAAGTCTCATTATAGTCTACTCCCTTTTGAGTATCGTACGTACCCTTTTGCTACCAGTTTGGCCTTATACCTCTCAACTTCACCATTAAGTGTTCTCTTTGTTTTGAATATCCATTTGCATGGAACAATTTTAACATCCACTGGTTGCGGCACAAGATCCCAAACACCATTAGTAGCCATAGAGTCAATCTCACTCTTCATGGCATCTAACCAAAAGGCGGAGTTAGGGCTATCCATGGCATCTTTGAACATTAGTGGATCTTCTAAGAGATCTACACCAAAATTTGATTCCTAGAGGTAAACAGTCTGAGGATGTGGTGCTTTGTCTAATCCTAGTGGATCACCTTGGCACAAATGGGACCTCCTGCACTTCATCCTGATTTTCAAGATCAGGCTGTTTAGGGGCAATGATAGGCGATTCAACCACAATAGGTTGTTCTATTATAGGTTGTTGTTCTTCTTGTATTTCAGTAGAGTTTGTAGGAAAAACAGTACAAGAGTTCCTAACCATTGTATTGATTTCTTTGAACTCAAGGTTTCTTGGAGTTCCACTCCCACTTGCCAAGTTATCCTCTAAGAACCTTGCATTTCTTGCCTCCACAATCCTTGGGGTATTGTTTGGACAATAGAACTTGTATCCTTTTGATCTCTCAGTGTACCCCACAAAGTGGTCACTTAGAGTTCTAGGGTCCAATTTTCCTAAATGAGAATTATACACCCTCACCTTTGCATTACAACCCCATACATGTACATGGTTTAAACTGGGCTTCTTTCCAACCCATAACTCAAAAGGAGTCTTAGAGACTGCCTTAGTGCACACCCTATTTAAAATGTACACGACGGTTTTTAGTGCTTCTCCCCATAGACTTGTGGGCAAGATGGAGTTGCTCATCATACTTCTCACCATTTCCATGAGTGTTTGGTTTCTCCTTTCTGCAACTCCATTTTGGTTTGGAGAATCGGGCATGGTGTATTGAGCGGTGATGCCTTGCTCTCTTAGGAACAATGCAAAGGGTCTAGGGTTTTAACCCACCTCTGTGTACTTTCCATAGTACTCACCCCCTCGGTCAAACCGTACAACATTAATTTGATATCCGGTCTATTTTTCTACTTCATTCTTAAAAATCTTAAATGCTTGTAAGGCTTCATATTTTTCATGAAGTAGATTTAGGTACATATACCTTGAATGATCATTAGTAAAGGTAATAAAATACCTTTGACCACTCATACAAGGGGTAGGTAATGGTCCACATATATTTGTGTGAATCAACTCTATCTTTGTGTTGCTTCTAGTGGCATTCTTTCCCCTCTTAATAGTTTGATTTCCCTTTATGCAATCTATACAAGTGGGGAAGTCCTCAAAGTTCATGGCCTGTAAAATCCCAGCACTTACCAACCTTTTGAGGCGGTCAATTGAAATATGACCCAATCTCCTATGCCATAGAAACAATGAGCTCTCTTCAATGGAATTTCTATTAACACCTACCGTATAAGAAACTAGATTTTCTAGGTCTGATGAGCAGTCTAGTCTATATAGATAATCTTGTAAGCAACCAAAACCAATTAACTTCTTTGATTTGTGAATTTCAAATTTAAAACCATTAAAAACCAATTTAAAACCACTAAGTGCAAGTCTGGAAACAGAAATCAAGTTTTTGGAGAAACCAGGAACAAACACAACATTATTCAAAAGTAAATTTAAACTAGTAGAAAGAGATAACTCTATGTCTCCTACAGCCTGAACAACAATTTATTTCCATTTCCAAGATAGATGAACCGCTCATTCAGACTAGGTTTCCTTGCCCTTTGAAGACCTTGCAAGGTGTTCACAATATGGGTTGATGCACCCGAGTCAATCCACCAAGAGTCAAAGAGAGTTTTAACAAAATTTGATTCACACACAAGGGAAAAATTAGTACCTGTGTCATCTTTCCCTTTCTGAGCTTTCTTCTTTTCTAACCAACCTTTGAATCGAGTAGTCACTTCTGAAGTGGCCCTTCTTCTTACAAAAGAAACAAGTGGGCTCAGTTTTACCCTTGCCTTTAGTCAATTTATGGCCCTTTCCTTTTGTTGCAGGACCCTTCTTATTCTTATCACCTTTTGTTACAAGATTGACGGTTTCCCGCCTTTCCTGTTTCAGCCTCTCTTCTTCTTGTACACATGAGGAGTTGGTTAAAACTCCATGTTTCCTTTTGTGTGTTATAAGACACTTTGAATGGCCCATACTCGATTGGAAGAGAGTTCATGATGAAAGTGATAAGAAAAGAGTCAGTGACGGTTACTCCTAGGTTGTTTAATTTGTCGCTCACGTCTTTCATCTCAAGGATGTGTTCCCTGATTGATTTGGACTGGTTGAACTTCATGTTCACCAACTTATTCAAGAGAGTTTGTGATAATATTTTCTCGGATGCCACAAACTGTTCTTCTAT